TGGTATATTCGCAGGGCGAGAGACGGGGATGTCTCTTACTTGCTGCAGCATCGGAGATGTAGCCACAGGTATCCGGAGCGTTCCTCTGTGCAAGGGCATCACGCTGTAGTCTGGTATTTAATGCCGTAGTGGTCGTTGGGCATACGGTAGCTGTGCATTGGGCCGTAGATGTTCTTGGGGCGGCCCAAGTCAGCATAATAAAGGTGAGGATGAAAGGCAATGTCCAGAGCTTCATCGCGACGGGTTGACAACAGGCAATAGAGGCTGAGTGAAAATAATACAACATGATCTTGGTTTCTGTTTCGAACGTGGACATATCAAGATGAAGTCTTTCCTTTTGATTCTTTACACACTACATATTCATGTTGATAAATATCAATAACAATTGAGACTTGTAGGCAGTGGCGTTCCCGAATTCAGCGACAACTAATGGTCTAAAGACAGCCACAGGCCACCACGGAGTCTGAATCATGCTAGCTTCTGAACATTGAGTCATTGGCGAGGCTAGGAGACGGCTACATCTGTTCAGGTAGAATTGGCTTTCCAGGCGGATATCAATCGTTATTCAGGCAAAGCACGTGTAAGTCAGTCAAGGTGGCCATGAACAACGACGAGGACAGTAGAGCTTGCAGAGACGATGAACAACAAGGCAGACACCAACGGAAAAGAAAGAGGGGAAGATGAGAGGAGCTGTTGCGACTTTCAGCCCGGGAAGTTGGAGATACCCGTCCTAAACACAGAGTCTATATGTATATTCACACTGCAACGGTCGCAGAAGACGTTACATCCAGTCCTGCCACTGAGCTGCACATGTTCGAACGATGAGAACGACATATCTTGGCGGAATGATTCGCCAATCGTCGGGACTATAAAAACTACCTATTTACAAGCTATGCCAAGGGTGATTAGCGTCGGAGGTCAGCCCATGCGGATGAAATTCTAACTCTCGGGAAAAGCCTTGCGGGCTTCCAATCGACTTGACCGGCAAATATAGATGCGTCGAGACTGAGCGTAATGATTGGCAAAAAGAAGAGATATGCCCAAGCCATGTCTCGGCACGGGTGAGGCGAGGCAGAGGCTGAAGATTGGCTGTGCTTGGAATGCCTGGAAACTACCAGATGGCATGCGGCAACAACAACCTTTTCGAGTTATGTCGAAGAATCGGCACGGAATTGCAAGCGCCTCCTGTTGGAAAGGCATGGTACCGGAGGTTCTGCCTGTCTCATTAACTAGGAGTCCAGCCAGCGCCCTGGGCTGCCATCTAGATCGTTCCAACACGGCGACACTGTTTGCCGCCAATGTGTGTTACACAAGTTGAGGTGTCTGAGGTTGCTGCTGAGACTGTTGCTAGTCATGCCGCTATGTTTGACTGGCGTTTCGAAGTTGATTAATTGGAGATGCGATATCCTATCTAGTGTTAGTAGACTGCAATGCTTGGGTTTGAAAGAAGCCCTCGCGTTACTGTGAGAGTTCTGATATCCGGGGGATATCCAGATATCCAGGCATTTAGTGGACACAGGCGACTATACTGATAACGATAACGATAACAATAACAATAACGACGGCAACAACGACGACGACGATGATGACGACGATGAAGACGATAGTAAGAACGATAAGAACGATGATAACGATAACGGCAACAGAGACGGGACGATACGAATAACAGTGACAACGGTTACGACGGAGATGGAGATTAAATTAAGACAATAACGAATAATAGTAAAGATAAGAGGACCATTAAACAAACGAATAACTATCAGACCCGATAAAAACGGTTCTCCGTCCAGTTAGCTAGAAGTAGTCTTCCAGATGGTAAAACTCTTCTCTACTTAATTATCTGAACTACAAGATTTACAAATCACTAGAAAAAAGCGCCGATGAATCTTAGCATGATGTATCTAGCTGAAACTTCGCCTACCTATGTTATACTTCAGTCTATCCAGTGGCACTGGATGGGATATCACTGGGTTCAGGTTTGGGTTGCATCAGACTGCTTCATGATTCTTTTACTGAAAGAAAGAAAAGCTAGCCTACAAGCTCAACAAATTTGGCGAAAGCTCCAGCATCAAGACTCGACCTGACGCACAACCAAGCACTATGACCGAGCCCCTGACGTCATATGTTAATGTTCGGTACTCTGATGGAACCCAGAGTATTGACTTGGAATCCTTCTCTACCCATGCGCCTAGATGTTCTACAGGCAGTACGTAGCCTTGAGGATGCAATATGGTCATCTCAGCACTTAGCGGCGTCGACAGCCCCGTGCTTGTCTTTGGCAGAGATCCCAAATCAATGTTGCCACCGAATGTAAATAGCTGCGACCCTGATTCCGAAAACTTGAGATATGAAAGTGGTGGATCGGGTGCAACCAATGTCACTTTACAGTGTCCCGTAGCTGGGTCCCAGAGCTTGATGGTCATATCACCTGAGCTTGATGCCAGTGTGGCTCCGTCATTCGAAAAAGCAGTCGCCGAAATACCTCTCGTGTGGGCCTTGAACCTTTGCAAGATACGGCCAGTCGTTGCGTCCAAGATTATGATAAAACCTCTTTCAATCTCATCTGCAAGATGAATCTCATTTCTAGAAAATGTGAGTGAGGCCGCCATGGATGCATGACTACCACCACGAAGTGTCTTGAGGCACTGTCCAGTGGTGACATCCCAAAGCCTGAAGTTATGTCGCGACAATGATGCAAGCTGTTTTGAATCACTGGAAAGCGCCACAGCAATGATGCCTTTGTTTTCAAGATCGAGTGTTTCACGATCTTGATCGGTTGTTGTCAAATCGACTGCAGGGGTATTAGTATATATGTATGTGAAGTAGTACAGGACGAGAGCGTAAACTCACCCGCCAACGTACCTTTGGCTTCATCGCACGGGCTTAAAGACATGCTGTCAGGAAGCCTGCTAGAACCTTCCTCCAAAGTCTTCTTCTTAGACGATACGGCAGTGGAGGAAGGTACGTCCAAAACAAGAATTGCGGGATCGTTGATTTGGTGTCTTCGATGCCTAAAAATATCCCACACCTTGATCATTTGGTCTAACGAGCTCGAAACAAGCTGTGTGCCGTCCGCAGAGAAGACTAACGCTGTGGTGGCAATGATAGGTAATCTCTGAAGGATGCTGCCTGTCTTTCCGTCTCGTATTTCGACAGCCTTGCTCTCTTGAGTCCGAGTGTCGAATGCAACAAAGCCGCCATCTTGTGATATGGTCACCAGACCGTGGTCACAGGCCACAGATTTGTCAACCCAAACGCAGCGACCGGTTGTTGTGTCCCAACATTTGAGCCCATCGAGGCCGTGGCAGGACACAAGCCGAGTTCCGTCGCGCGAGAAGGCCAGCGACGCTTCTGAGTGGCCACTATGATTGTGTTGAGAATCTAGTGTCTTCGAGGATGTCCTAGATCCCAATTCCAACAGATGAACACAAGCTGTCTTAGTGAAAGATGCATAGAGAGTGCCGTCAGCCGAGAAAGCGACTCCAGCAGACGGGGATGACCCGGGCGTTCGGAACTGTTGCACGCGCTGGCCTGTGCCTATGTCCCAGACCTGAACAAGTTCCTGTGACCCCAACGCAAGCTGTTTGCCACCGGCACAGAAAGCCACAGACGTATAGCAGCTGTCCAAGTGCTCACCATGAAAGGTGTGGAGAAGTCGGCCTGTCGCCTTGGCCCAAAGGTTACACGTAATGCCTCCATGTGCCGAGACCGAGGCGAGCGTGTCTCCTTTGGGAGAGAAGACAACTGAAACAAATCGGTCTTCATTACTAAAGATCGTGCGTAAGCATTGGCCGGTTGTTACGTCCCAGAATTTGATGGTCCTGTAGCCCGTGACCGACGCCAGTGTTGCTCCGTCAGATGAAAAAGCCAGAAGATGCGCTGCGTCCTTGAGACCCTCAAGTGTTTGCAAGCATGGACTCCATTCATCGTGTACTGTCGGCGTCTTAATGATCCAGTTCATGACTTCGGTCTGAAATCGCTGCCTGATGATACTATGCGTTGGGCTGAAAATGAGTGCCGAGGAGTAAATTTGAAGGGGGCAATTTTCAATCGCCACACGGAAACATCGCAAAAATCGTAATGCGTCTTGAATGAAGAGTTTCTGGTGTAACACTTCGTCCGATCCCTGAAGACTTTTAGTAACTAAGAAATTAGATCTCTCATAGGTAAGCAGAGGAGTACCTGGATGTTCCGCGCAAGTTTGAACAGGCTTACTATACCACTGGATGTACTTCGTAGTAAACTTAAAGCTTCTACCCAATGGAGGAGGTGTTGGTTCAAGAACTCATAGGCTTGAAAGTATGGCTGCCCTTCTGTATGTTCTCCATCATCAATATGCTCGACCCAGTAAACACATGCGTATCTTGCTGGACCAAGCGGGTCCGGCACCGGCGTGCGAATGTCGTCGAGAGATGCTCCGGGTTCCTCGAGATTGTATATGTTACGCCGGCATGTCTTTGACATGACCTGTAGCGATCTCCAAAAAACGAGGTTGTGTTCGTGTTGGATGCCAGAGGGCATGATCTGATCCTCAGCATGGTCAAAGAGAAAGTCTCTTGCCGACTGGTGAACAAAGTAGACGATGTCGTCTTTCACTGTTAGAATGGAACCGCACTCTCCAATGATCTCCTCCAGGATCTCTGTCTTCGTGCAGACATCTCCCAAATTCGCAAGAGACATCAACTCAAATAATGTTACAGGGCGATAGACAATCGAAACAACTGCCAAGATTTTTCTGCACCAAACCTTGTCGTTCGAATTCCAAGTCTGGTCCAACATTCGTTGATACAGGGCGTCTAGCTCCCGAGGGAATTCTTCCACTTTCATCCGTGCGTGTCGTTCAGAGACACCGGGTTTCCCAAGTTGCTCGGTGACTAAAGCAACCCAAAGGAACGTATCGTTTGCTTTCGAGCTCAAGCGGTTGTAAACATGGTTCCGTGTGTCGACGTCGTACCTCTTCCGTGATGCCAGCTGATCCACTCTATGAGAGATGTATCGGTTTACAGCTGCCGAGACTGAATTCTCGTTTAGCTCTAGACTGATACACACTCGGTCCGAAACATCTACAACAGTCTGTTCGATGCTTAGCCAGTTGCGGCTTGAAGCGATGACTTTGACGTTCAACGAAGATAAACGAACGATAAAATCGAGAAGCTGTTCAAGGCCTGCTGTGCACTCATCTAGTGCATCGATGATGAGGATGAAGTCGTCGAGGCCACCATCCTGCGCTATGTTCGTAAATATTCCGTCTAAAACATCCCACGCGTTGGCGTCTTCAAAAAGTCGCCTTCCTGCATGCTCATGCTCTTCGCGTATGAATCTAGAAAGTGAAGGCCTCTTTCTAAGTAACAGATACAGAAGGCTACGCAGTACGGCTGTCATGTTGTTGAGACGCGAATCGGTCGCTTCGCAAAAGAAGTAGATCGTCTCCCATCCTGGCATGCGTGCAGGTAGTTCGTCAATGATGCCGCAAATAAGCATCGTTTTGCCCTTACCAGGGTCGCCTCTTATCCAGAGAAGCGAGCTCTGCGTATCGGTCTGCCATCGGACAAAGGCCTCGTGGTCGAGAATCCAGCAGTATGAATCGCGTAGTAGCCCGCCCTTTCTGCGTTCGATGCGTCTTTTGTCGTCGCGTGGATCAGTGACGCGCAAATCGGCGAGGAGTTTGGAATCGCTTTGGTTCTGCGCATCTACATTCACAAATGACATCAGTGGTGGGCAAGGACTCAGTCTGCGGTTGCTTACTGTAATTGATGGTATTTGCGTTGAACTGATTCCCAGAGCCAGAGTTATTGTTCTGAGTTCCGTGTGTGTTGCTGTATTGGCTGCCTGAGCCAGAATTCCTGGAATTGGTAGCCATAGCGAAGGTGCGTCAAAAGCGGCGGTTATCTTGCTCGACGAGCGCCACCTGCTTCAGGCAGGGAGCTGTCTTTCAGCCAGGCAGACCGAATCGAGAGACAAAGCTTCCAGATCTGATCTGGGGTAGGCAGGCTGCGAATCAGTATATATAGGTAAGCCTTGACCCGCTTGTCCGCTGATTCGCAATTTCTGTACTGAGCACTCGCGTCGCTGTTACTGGCCATGAAGATCATGCATGTCAGCAAAGGCACACGATACAGGGACGTCATTGGGCGAGTTCTCTTGGAACGGCGGGGATGTTCTGCATGACCTGGCACGCTTGAACAGTTGAGGGGTACCTCGCAGCCTGGTGTGGGTTTCTTGGCATGATGCATGGTCAAGTTGCCAGACTCAAATGCTGGTCACAATATGCTTCGCTGCAAAGAATTGGAAGGGGGATTTCATGGTACATACATAAATGATCACAATTATCCGCGTGCTCACTTTTAGCCTCCTGGGCGAATAAGTAGTAATGATAGGTTAATAATAATAATATGGACGACAAGGACGACGAGGACGACGAGGACGACGAATGCAACACCGACAATGAAGACGAATACGAACACACAGATGATAAAAATAAATTAAAAACGAAATAATAACTCAGATACCTTATAGACAGTAGTTCATCCACTTGGCTTAAGGTGTGTGCCTGGATAGCAGAACTCAGCGTAGATATATCATTTTCACGCTAGAGGGGGCGATCATTCGTGGCTTCAGGCTTGGAGGACGATGGATTTCCGTGACACTATGTGTGTGCGGTCTTGACCGCAAAGATACATGGTGGGTCAGAGCCATGAGCTGCCCTCCGGATCACTCCAACTCAGCCACACTATTCGCCGGCAGCTCGTGCCTCACAAAATGAGGTGTTTGAGTGCGCTGAGTCTGTTGTTGACCATGTTTCTGGGCCTGAGCCGCGGTATTTGCGGGTGGCTGCGCTGGATGTCGGCTTGTATTGGACTGTTTTCCTGATTTTTCGGCGCGAGTCTGTCTCCTTCGACGTAGTATGAGCCAGATGACCACGCACAGCAATGCGAGGACGATGACTGATATACCGCTCACTACTCCTCCTATGATAGCTCCATTGTTGTTATTAGGCGCTGATTCAGGTTTGGAAGGCTCAGATGGTACGGGAGCGGAAGAGGCACTGGCCGTGACCCTGACGATGTCGGTAGGGTCATCTACTAAGAACACCTGGTTTGTATAGCTGGAGCCGACCCCATAGTCAGTCCTGTAACATCCCCTACGTGTGATGAAACCACCTGAGGCAGTTCTTTTGATGTAATCGACACATAAAGGCAGCCATCCGTTTTGTGAATTCGTGCTCCAAAGGAACTGTCAGTCCAAATGTGTTGGCAAGGGCTCAGTCTTCGTACCAACAATGCTCGGCACTGCCCAGCATGGATGTGCTGCGACACATCGATGCCGTGCTGTTGTAGCATAATGTGATAGCTAAGGAACATTGCATCCATGGACCCGATGTATGACAGCTGGTACTGCTATCACATGTATACGGCACAGGCGAACCTACGGAATTTGAGGTTAGCTTCGTTAGAGTGAGTAGGGTTCCCGCGCAGAAACACGTTCAAACCTTTGAAAGAAGGGTCAGAAATGAAACCGCAGGTATTTTCAGATCGCTTTGCTAATGCAACATTCTTTAGATGAACTGCTGGGCCTGTAGTGGGAGTAGGTATCCGACGGAGACACTGGCCTGCATAGTCCTCTTCGGCCACCGTACGTCGGGCAGGGAGACTATCATCCGCAATTAACATGTCGTATGTTGGTAACTCTTGATATGAATGAAGTTTCAGCATGGGCGAAGGTGCGTCTTTTATCGAACGGACTGGGTGCGATGCTTGTCTTGGAAAAGTGGAGAAGCCATTGCTTTGGTGTGTTCATCTCCCTCGGAACTGTCGTACACATACTTGGCTTGAGGCCACTTTCATGACACTCGAGGGTTCCCGAAGGGCAGACTTGTTGACGGTCCTTCAGAGCACGAGCCGAGCGCTGGAAATATCTCACCAATGAAAGCTCACTTCTAGATGAAGGAGTGATTATGGAGAGCGCCTTAAGGCATCTTGCGAGGCTGTTGAATGTCTCACTAAGAGGGGAACGTCTCACTCTGCTGCAGGCCACTTCATCTGTCACACATTGAGAGAGGCTACATGCTACTTCCTCTTTCGGAAGCGAGGTAAAAGATTATTGAATATTCTAATCGTCGTAAGGAACTACTCAGGGGCCGCTTGAGAAGTCGATATTGGGGAACCTAGCTCCTGGCATTACTATCAACCCAACTCAACCGTGTTGTTCCCATTGTGACCACCGGCTAGTTGAGGTCCCGGACTATACTGTGGAACAGGAGACATTGAGTTAGGCCTCTGCTGAACCTGCTGTTGGCTCAGCCTCTTGTCCTGACTGCCAGGGCTCACTTGAGAGGTCTCGTAGGGCTGGATGAATGGTTGGCTTGTCTCGGGATGATCCGATGTAGGTGATGGGTCATCTTTGTGGGCTCCCTTTCTCCGGCGCAGCACCAGCCACACAATCACGCAGACTGCCAGTGCAATAACTGCCACACCGCCGATCGCGCCGCCGACTATCGCTCCAATGTTTGTATGCGATTGCTCCGAGGCTGATGATGTTGTTGCTGCTGTAGATGTCGAGGTAGTGGCAGTGGAAGAGGAGGAATCGATCCCTGTTGACGAGCTGCTAGTCGTTGAAGGTCTGACAATCTCGGTTGGGTTCTCGACTAGAAATACCCGGCGCGAGAACGTGCCGTTGACTGCTAAAGAGGTATGGTAACACCCCTTTCTCGTCTCGTCTACTCCCACACTCCTCCTTCTGACGTAATCCACGCAAAGTGGCCGCCAGCCATCTGTAGAATCCGTGCTAAAGGCTTCGTCAGCTAACAATACATGGGAGCAACCACGACGAGGGCTTGTGAGGGTGGGGTTTGACGTACCAGCAACGAGCTTGCGAATCTATAGAGCTAGAACTGCATTCTGATGAGGTCCCGTCGTAACACTCTGTGAACGGCGCAACCTTGGTAGTCCCGCAACCAAGCCATGATCCAAATGCGAAACAGCTGTGAGTGGAGATTGGACAGGTAAACGGGGAAGGCGAAACTGAGGAGAGGTAAGTTATGTACTCGTGTGAGTTCCATGGAGGCAAACAAGAAACTGACGATTGGAAGGATCAGATACAAATCCGCATGTATTGGCAGACCTTCGAGCCAAAGCAGCATTCCGGAAGCGCAATCTCGGAGCAGGAGTGGGTGCAGGTGGTATAGATATGCTTGGGGGCGTATGGTGTTCCGAGGAAAGCGTGCGCCTTGCAATAACATTGGTGTGATCTGCGCCGATCATGGCTAGAGTCGTACATACAATCTCTACAATGACGACCAAACCTAAAGAAAGAAGCATGGTCGGGGCCAAATCTGCTCGGATATCGAGATTTTCGAGGGGACAAGGGCCAGAAAATACAGATATCGGTACCCTCAATCCCACGTATGGGTGGGAAAACACGTCTCTATATGCAGCTGCCGAGTGCCAAGATAGGGACGCTACTACTCTCTCAGGTAGGCGGCGAGAAAGTCTAGACCTGTACCTTCACTTTTCTTATCTTGTGCAACGCTCTGCACTTCGTTATTGGGTATGATGCGCAGATGTACCAAATCAGGCTCGCCCAGAACGCCAATCGTACAGAGCCTCCATTCTTCCCGGTGGGCAGAAGGGATGCAATAACCCAGTGGCTGCTTGGCGAGGAGGAATTCGCATCCTCTTTTGAAAAAGGCGGTATCTCAGCTGAAGCGATTGTCGCAGAATTCTCTAATACGATTCGCCAAGTCTAGGATAAATGCAGCCAGCCTTATGTCGAGCATGAAGGGCGGATCCCTCACTGTGTGAGATGTCTTGGTTACCAACAGCCACTTTGCATATTACGTGTTGGTGTTGCACAGTAATTTCTCCCTTCGGGAGCCTGCCGCGAGAAGCAAAACCCACAAGCCTTCGTTTACTCACACAGATAGAAAGGCCGATCAAAAGGGCTTCCGTTGGTATTGTTACGCAGAAGATCTCAAAACATCAAATGGTCATCCCCAGCTGACATCCCGCTCCCACTCCCGCCTCCAAGGAATGTGCTCCAGTCCAGCTCTGTGAGCTGCTCATCGCACCATCCGAACAGATCCATCCCTCCGTCCGTGGTCGCGGATGGTGTCCAAATCGTGGACCCCGCATTGGACCCGCCCTCGACTTCCGCGGTGACTGCTTCATACAGCGCTGCCACGATATCCGGGGCCCTGTCCGAGGCACGCATCCAAGGGCGCATCTCAGCGAAAAGTTCGAGGGCCTTGGTCAGACTTGCGCACCATGTTTGTAAGGCTACGGAGGCTACGGTGTCCGGAGAGCCTGCGACTGCTGGAGGCGGATGATTTGGTGTTGTGATTGAGGTTATCGGGACCGAGGTCGATGCGCCTGATGTTCGTCTCTGAGCGTTTTGGTGTTGCTGTTTGCGGACTGCTGTTGCTCGGTGGGTTTCGATCGCGATGGATAATAATGGGACCATGCATGCTTGGAAGAGATACCACGCCGAGTTCCAGACGTGGACGCGGTTGGGTGTCCAGTAGAGCGTGATGGCGTCAATTGCTTCTGACGCGACGGTGCGGCACGATTCGACTAGGGAAAGCTCTTCTTGCGAGATGTTCGAAGCGACGTCGCTGGTTGCGGAAGTGCTGCCCCGTTTGAGGCTGTGGTCGTGGGCGAGGTATAGTAGGAAGCAGCGGGAGAGGATTAGGCGGACGTTGAGGTATCTGTTTCGCATGAACTCGCGGGCGACGGTCAACCTCGGTGGGGAGTTGGCTGGGTTCTTGAGGGCTTCGGGGAGAGAGGCGTGCCAGTCGCGGAGCTCGCGGTCGAAGGACAGCGCTTCGTGGGCGGAGAGCCGCGCGGGCTGGGCGAAGCGATGCTGGATTCGGTCGCAGATGTGGCAGAAGTGGCAACTAGCTCTCAGGGACGCTGCGACGTGGTCGTCTGGAGTGAGGGGAGTCGGTAGAAGCGTGTCCATGGTACTGCTATCCCATCTACCGCAGGTCGGCCGGCCCAGGGTCATGCTGGCCCACGTATCGAGGCAGAAGAGACTCCACCATGTCCGTCGCCGGGTCTCGGTGCGGATGCTGTGGTGTTCGGCGGTGTGCTCGGTTGCGTGGCGATGACTTCGGACGGGTTCGCGATGTAAGCCAAGGGCGATGGCCACGCGATGAGCAGCACCAAGAACTGCGTAGGCCATGTTGGGTGAGTTGCGGTAGTGAAGGTAGTAGCCGCCGAGAAGGCACAACGCCTGAAGACTCTCCATGTTCCCTGACCCCAGAGAGTCGAGACCGAGATGGGCGCGTGCCTGCTTATAATATTGCACGTGTAGTGTGTCACTCCCTGACGCGACGGAGCCGAGAGTGAAGACCATGTTCAGAAGAGCGAGCCAGGAGTCATCGTGGCGGTTGCCTGCGGCGTAGGTGTTGCGAAAGTCATCTTCATTCAGGATGGGCGTTATGGGGTGGATGTGGTCAAAGTAGAACTCGATGCAGCGTTGCTCGCGGAGGGGGTTCATTCCTTGACTGGCTGCGTTGAGGATAGAGAGTGGAGGCAGGCTTTGTTGATAATGCGGCAACGATGAGGACTCTGTCCATGACTTTGCGCGTTGGGCGGTGTGTTCCTTGGCGGCTGGACAGAGGCGGAAGATTGCTCTCAGTACAGCGCTCATAGAGGTGACGCCCAAGTATGAGCGGCGATGCTGGTCTGTTGCGAGGGAGATGGCATTGATGTCGTCGCTTGCACGGATAGTCGCTGTGGGCTGATGAGCGGCAGCGGATTCGTCCCATCGCCTGTCGTTGGCGGGTTCGCCGTTCTCCGAGATCTGAGTCGAGTCATTCGGGTCATTATCATCGTCGTCTTCATCAACGGCGGAGATATCTGTCGGTGAAGGATCTTGAGTTGTGGGCGCTATGTTGTAGAGTGAGTCACGAGGGATGAGGGCGAGAAGCTGCAAGCGAGTCTTTCCAACAAGGTCTTCTACTGGGATATCGGGAAAAAGTTCGTTGAGAATGCGAGACTGGGCCTGGAGTTGTTCAGATGCCCTCTCAAGTGTACTATGATGAGATTAGCATGAAATACATGACCAGAGGTTGAGTGAGATGAGAGTAACGAATGAGAATTACCTCCGGCTAACGGCATGCCGTTTACTGCGTTGCCTGTACTCGCAAGTATCTGCAACTTTGTAGTACTCGCAACTAGCACACGGATGGCCGCCGTCGCATTTGACTTTGCGCCTCGTGCATTCCTGGCATGATCTATTCACCTTCCGCGACGGCGTTGCGGAGCCTACCGCAGAGGCTGGCGGGCTTCGGCTGTTGAAGGAGTGAAACATTGCCGAGATCACCGACGCTGCGGCGGTTGCGATCGGCACTTATACGGCCCCGCGGCAAGCAGCTGCAACGACACCAAATGCAACGGGGCACATTTGGGGTAAGCGGAGGTTGATTCTGTTGCGGCGGGAGAGGTGGAAAGGATGGCCGCACGCTCTGCAAATGAGGTGGATGGAAGAGGAAATGTGGGTTGAAGAATGGAAGGGTGAGGTGACTTTTGGGAGGAGACTTGGGTGGGAAATTTCGAGGGAGCTGACGCGGGGGAAAGTGGAGAACTGAACATGGGGAAAGTGTGGAGTTGGAGGACCTGGATTTGCTGCTCACTTGGAAGAGTCAGGGGTCGGGGGAGCGGCCGGGTCTAGACCGGGATGGGCCGGGGTGAAACCGGGGGAGCACGGTGCTGATGCCGGGCTGTCTTTTTAGGTTCGCAGTATTGTCGATGAGTGGGAATTTGTTTGCTGCAATAATTGGGGCAGTAATTTGTGTGACTTGATGGATACTTCATATAGCCGCTTGTGGTGTTGCTGAAATTCAATACGGGCTTTTCTGCAACATACAGATTACTTTTGCTGTTAGGTTGAGCATTATGGCGTCGTTATTTGCATCGTTCCTGCCTTCCTTCCCGTCCCTGTCACCCTTAACCCTTCTATCAACCTTGAAACCTCTATGTGGTGTCGCCAGTCTCGTTTTTGTTGACCCTAGTTCAGAGAAAACTCGACGGCTAGGTAGAAAGTTGTTGTTCAAAGCCCAGTAATGAATTCGTAGATCTCTGCCAAGAAATCGTCGAAGTCCGATTAAATTGATTTTGCTCGTCCAGAATTGAAAGGGGCGGTCTTGTCTTGACACCCCTACTGGTTGTATGCGTCTCTCCCGTCTGTCTGGGGCTCCATTGGCGATGCTTTTATCTCGCTGTTGCCAGACGCACCAGCGACCAGGCCCCCTGTGAGGGGTATACTTCGCCGAGGAAGATTGTATTGAGCTTGAGTAATAAGAAATGACGCAATCCACATGCCCATGTGCATTAAGAACAGAGCTGTTTCGTTTCGTTAGTTAATGAACTATGCCGAGGATCATGGAGCGTAGGTACTTATTGTCCAATTCCAGGTACCTGTCAGTGCTCGCACGGTGACACAAATGCCCATGACAGTTGTAAGAATTGCAACCAACATATACTTTATAAACCTCTTCCACTTTGGTTCGATCTCGATCAGCGCAAAAGAGTGGCCATCTGTGTCAATCCATTGGGTTGACGAGAGTTCAAGTTGACCAGTGTCAACACTTTGACGTTCTGATTCAGTACCTAGAGCATACACCAACCTAGTGAAGTAGAGTGTGAGGTGAAGCCAAGTTGACAGCATGGCCATGGCAAGTGCCACAAGCCACGTTGAGAGCAGCACTGAGCCAACCGAAATCTGTCAGTGTCCCTCCATAATATATCAGTGGGAAAACAAAGACTTACTTGGGCGTTCCATGAATGTGTATATGTCCGATGGCAACGCATACAAGCCACAATATAAACCAATGCTTATCAATAGAAGAAATTTTACCGATGCTGATACCATCTCGAGCCAACCATATGTTCTAGCGAAGCTGAGCACGCAAGCGCTAAATAGTAGTCCAAAGGCCCAGGAGGGGATAGCTCGTGTTCCTTGATACCAGTTGAAATCAGGGTCTCCAAAATGATCCAAAGTAGTCTCTGAAGACTTGGCCAGGTCCCATGCAGTGATCGCGCCTGTCAATAAATATATGAAGACGAACGAGACCACGAAAGCATGAGACATCAGTATAGTCTTGATGAGCATGAAGAACGAGAGAAGACCGTGACTTAGTTCCAGCCAGGTAACTCCAACCATGGAGTACAACTGCGCCGAGAATGGCAGAAATCTCTTGATCGGAAACAATCCAAGTCTTTTTGGAATCATTCGAAGAAACCTTCTGGACTGGGTCACATTCTCGACCTCAAGATTTTCAACCTCGGAGTGCTCCATCAATCGGTCGAGTTGGGTCTCGACTGTAAAGTTCGTGCGTTCCGTAACACTCGACGGTTGCTGCGACGGGAAAATCTTGAGCGTAGGTACTTTCAGCGTTGTACTGATATCCTCTTGAACTTGTTCGAATGGAACCATGTAGCCACAGTTAGTTGAGCGTGCAATCAAAACGCCCATTACAGAGGAATCGCTCTTGTGAATGACCCAAGACCCAGAATCGCCAGGCTGAAAGTCTAAGAGGCTGTCAGTCAATTCTCAAACTTTCGATGTAACAGGATTTCAACTACATACCATCAAATCCGAGGTCTATGGACCATACTTCTTGCAAGCGCCGTGACTCCGATAGCATGAAGGTGCGTCGCTTTGACAAAACCCCTTCTTTCAACCCACTACGACCTGAAATTATCAGGACATCTCGCAAGTCTGAGAAGACTCGAGATTCAATTCGGTAATGGTTGGAAATAGCTTTAGGCGTATCCAAGAGTAAATTTGAACCAGAAGAACTCTGCAGGATGATGTTCGGTCTTCGATGATCAGGTTGTATCAAAGCGAGTCGCCAGTCCCCGCAGTCGAATACATCTTTAGGACCGAAGGTGAAACGTTCTTTGTGATGGACCTGAGGCAGGCTTTGTGATGTTTGATGTTGTCCTTCTTCAGGAGGATGATTTGTCGTCAGAGCATACGTTTTTTCCCCAATCGTAATCAATCCCCCGATAGTAGAGAAAAATGGAAAATCGTGCTCGAGTTCGGATATCATCAGAGTACCACAGTAGGTAATATTCTGGGAAGTCTCTATGATGTACCTCTCCGGCGCTGCTGAGCGATTGATACGGTCGAGGAGATAGCATAGCTTAAGGGGCTGATATATTGACCTGTTTTCTGACTTGGACAGCTTGATATCAAACTCCTTGACACTTTCGACTGTTGTGAAGCCTATGATGCAGATATAAGTTTCTGGCAAGCTATGCTCCTTCCCATAGGGTTGGGCAGATACCAATTCGGACGATAATCTTGGCAGATTGAGACCAAATTCAGCCAAGAACCTATGCAGGGTTTGCATGAATCTGTCTATGACGTCCATTTCTCCGGAAGTAAAGTCAGCATCGGGAATCATGACGATAGTGTCGAACTTCGTTCTCAGCCGGTGTCGTGACCTGACGATGGCCGTCTTTGTCTTCCCAAAGTGTGGAACAAGGGTTTCAGCCACATCAGAGGTGGTGAGCAGGCCGGTACCATACGGACTGTCGTCATGAATTGGTGTTGTCGATGTTGTCTCGAATAGAGGAGTAGCAGATTCTATTGCAAATTTCGGATCTTCCATTTCGGACGACGCATTTCCCCTGCCAATTGCTTCTTTCTGATTGACGATAGCGTCTGGAGTGACGAGCTTTTCGCTTTTGGCGGCTGCGTCATTTGAGCCCTCTCCGGACTTCAGCGCAGATACTGCAAGTGCTTGGTCGTCAGAGGTTGTCGTTGGAGAAACAGGAAGAGGTTGAGGACGGGGCCCCAAGATATGCTCATCCTCTGGATAACTACCATTAGCCCGAAAAGGCGCCAGAACATTCTTGTTTTCTGGTGACTTCGTTTGCAACCACAGTGCAAAGCCCAACAAGTCAGCCTCGATAGAATATTCACGCCCAGACGAAGCGCTCTCGTTTGCCTTAGCACTGGGTTTGACTTCGCCAATCGTATGCCTTTCCCCCAATTCATCACGGATCGTGGTGTTGATTTCCATTGACAATCGATGCAGCTCCGTTTCATGATTTCGTAGGGTATTTAGAACCACGCGCCAAAGGAATATGCGTCGCCGGGGCAATTGATGACCGTATTTAAGATATAGCAGAACCGCAATAAGAGGGATGACACATTGTACTACGAATAGCAATTCGATCCCTTCATCAGAAGATATGGCGCCTTTGAAGCGTTTGTTCATGCCGTTGATATTGCAAAATGGTAGCCATTGACAGAATGCATCTTGCCAATGGGAATTTGACAGGTTATCTTGGCCAAGCTGGAACATAAAGAGAAATGTGAAACAGGTTGTGGGTGAAATGCGAGCTTTCTGCGAGACGGTGCAAAAACTGGGAAATATGAGTTGGGGCCGTGAGACAGACGTGTTATAATGGGCCAGTTCTTGTTAGCGAGCACACTAGCTAATAATGACAGAACCGTAGGCGTCAGCAGCCTGGCGCAGCTCAGATTGCCTTAGCTGGTTCGCATGCTGATTCTCTGAAACAAGGGGTCGACAAGTGTATACATAAATAGGTTTGCCCCTCAACAAGAGGACCTATCACATGTGCAGTTCAATCTAGTCCAATAGATAGATAATGATCTAGCCGCCCAGCAACACATTTGGGAGTGATCTTATGCATCTAAGGTACAGGTTGTGTGGTGTGGCAGACTGCAAGGCAGTCCGCAGTCCGTAGTCTGCCTTGCGGTCCTTGTCCCAATATGAAGCCTCTGAGTTGAGTGCCACAAGAAGCGAGTGCGCCCTCAGTTTTCTAAATCCTACAAACCACCTGACATCCATTTGACGACTGACGGACTTCCAAATGTCAACACAAACACAACCCATTCAAGGAACCATTCCAGAACTAATCTGGGGTCCCGATCACGGCAGCGGTCGAGAGGAACGGCTCTCTAAGTTCCTGAAAGAATGTGCCCATGAGCATTACGTGTTGAGCGAGAAAAGGCCGCAGGCTGCGCATGCTGAGGCAGATATCGCAGCAATAATCGGAAAGATTAAGTCCGAAATTCCCGTGTCGAAAGCTCAGATCTTGCCGGAACCACACGATGAGGATACTTCGTCAGTAATTGACTGCGTTGTTCGAATGATCTTCATGACTGCCACTAAGTCAGGGTATGCAGTGGCTGGGGGTTTCTTTGCCTTCTCATGGAAGGATGAGGAGACGATTGTTGACTTCCTGGATCGCGTGTACCCAAGAGCATCGTTTGGGATGGGACAGGATCAGCCCATTAATGTGAGGAATATCAGAGCACTCACTCTGGTGCAGGCTACTGGCATTCGGATCCAGCATACCGATAAACTTTCGGATCATTTGCACCTGATTTATGGTGATGACTTCAAAATTCTTCTCATCTTCCACCATCGATCTTTTCTTGAATACAGTCTTCAAAGATTAAAGAGCAAGCGTGATGGCTTGGACCAGTCTATGGCCGAGGCTGTAAAATGGTAGGTGCATTGTTTCCCTGCTGATATCATGACTGACGCGTTTTCAAAAGTGGCTGTCTACATCCCAAACTCCTGTTGGAGACCCTGAAAACATTGGATCTCTTGTTCCCAGTATTTGGCGACAAAAAGTCCAAAAGATTCTTAGAAAAGTGGGTGGATGAGAAGAAACTCGATCAGAGTTTGTTGGATGCCCCCTCCTACGTTTTTGGGAACGAACAACCGCCCAAAGATCTTCATGGGCTATACGAACAGTACCCTTACTGGGGTCGCCAGCTCGCGAGATTGCTAAGAGAAGTGGATGACCCAACACCCATCACCTGGTGGCAGAAATACACGGAAAGAGGAAGATCGCCTCGGAGAATGTTCGAGTGCGCTATCGCTGCCCTCGTAGTCACCGCCTTCTCTGTATTTGTGGCTACGACGTTGGCAGCAGTGCAAGTCTGGATTGCGTATTGCGATTGGGATGATGCGCCTTCAAGGTCTTATTGTCCGGCCAGGCATGAGAAAGACGTAGAGACGCAGAAGCGGCTACTGTGAAGCGACAAGGGGTTTGGTACATCATCCAGATATGGCAAGAGAGTTAGAATAGGTTTTTCCACCCCTTCAAAAGCATGTTAAGCTGCAAGAAATTTGTCACAGATAGACGATTGAAGTTAACTCAATGGGTTGACAATCTCCAGCTCGGCTTCAATTTCCATCGTGAATCTCGTCCCAATGCACTTCGGGGAAACCTCCTGAAGGTGCATCCAAAAGAGGCTGCTCAATGCCAAGCAAAACCTCATCAAAAAAAGCTCTGAGGAATGTCCTCGTGATATTGACCATTCTGTTGCCATCAATGGGTCCCAGTGTCGCCGTTGTGCCGAAAATCTTCCAATATGTCCGGTCCTCCCAGTCAGCATGCAGGCTTCCGTCCACTGAGAACAGACGCCACCATCCAGTCTGCCAGGCTCGGTAATTGCTCCAAGTGCGGTCAGAGTTTGCATTGTGGCCCCCGAAGCCCAGAATCATCGACGGCTTCTTTAGGTCCGAGTCGGATGTGCTGTTCAGTCGACCCCAGTTGGTACCGTCCACATTGATGGCGGCAGCCACGGCATCACTCTCCAGTGCTAAGGTGAGAGCAGCGGAACCTCCGAGAGACACGCCAAACGTGCCGAAGTCGGTGGTCTTGAAAGGCGCGTCGAGCTCTGCCACCAGGGAGGGGAAGTAGTCAATGAAGTGGAGTTGCTGTCTGACTCTGACGGCGTGCAGCTCTTCTACCCAGGCAAGGGTGTAGTTGGTGAAAGCTGGAGAGAGGCCGTAGACACCCGTGCCGTTAGGATATCGCACAAAAGGTTGCTCGTAGACGTGATCGAATGCAGCCACGACGTATCCTTCGGTGTCAAAGTCAGCATGAGCATAGAGACAGCAAGAAACGGACTTACCGTGAGAGACGAGGTCAGAGATGGCAATGTAGCTGCCATCAGTCGGTGGACCCCAACCGCCGGGCCCGAAAAGGAGCGTTGGACCCGTTCCCTTTTCAAGATAAGAGGCATTCCACCGCAAAGTCGAAGTCAGGTGGGAGATGTTGTAATTCCATAAATCCTCGTACAACTCAACAAGTTCAGGCTCGAGGTATGGCTTCGGGCAAGGTTTCTCGTCTGTGGTAGGATAGTACAACGTAACGAGGTATTCGGTCGAAACACCATCGGGCCACACGACGTCGTCCTCGTCTAAGAAGGGAACGACGAAGCGCTTGGCGCCGACATTGTACTCGCCTGTAGGAGCGGGAATGGGTTCTCCAAGAACCGTAGGCGCGACGGCCGCCCACAAACAGAGTGTTGGAGCCCAGGGAACTTGAAATTTCATTGCGATGATTGGGGATACGAACCGACGAGGCTTAAGCTCGAGCACGTCAAAAGATGTTATACGAGATGCTGATCTGTTTAAATAAGCATTCAAGAGCCGTTATCTTCTTCTCGGCATAAGGTCGAACCCCTCCCGCGATAGATGCGGAAGCCACTGCCAGAAATAATGCAGCGGCGAAGGCAGATCAGCCTAACTTCCATTCATTTCTGACTTGGACTTACCTCAATCAGGCAGCTGGGACGTTTTGTGCCGGACTCATCCCCAGTCTAGCAGGCTCTACCCCGCTGAGCGTATGACAAGAGTCCGAATGTGCAATCTGACCAGGCCTGCTGGTTGTAGCGCAGGGTGGGGGAATACATATGAAGCGCCTTGGCATATACGCCCAGGTAAGCTGACGGCGGAACGGGCAATCTTGCCTGACCTAGATCACAGGGTAGAAACCGATGATTAGTCTGCCTACATCCGACTTTGCAGTCCAGATACGCAGTTTCCCGTCTCATCCTGGGGAAAGCTGGCCCTTCTGGAGGGTGGAGTAGACACTTTTGGTGACCACTGGTACACTGAAGGAGAAGAAGTCATCGAGGAGTTCAGAAATGGAAGACAGCAAACGCTTTTTGATTAAACCTCCGAAGTCCACACCCACAGAATAAACTATCCAGACATATTCTACCTCTTCTTCGAAGGTCTGGCATTCTTCTCCATCTTCTTCTGCTTCTCCACTCTCGCCTTGCGAATATCCTCCGCGCCCTTGATCTCCTTCCTGCTGCCCGCGCCGTCCTTGAACTTGCCAATCCTCTTCTCCTTCGCCTCCGCGACCCTCTTCTTCCGCACTTGGTAGTCGTCGCGGTACTTGTCCGCCTGCTTCGGTGCCTTCTCCAGCTTGTGCTTGTACCGCGGCCCGGACTGGTCCACCGCGCCTGGCATGTTCGGCCTCTCGAGCCCGCCGACCTGCATGCGGCCCAGCCTGTTGGCCTTGCGCCACTTGTCGAAGCGGCCGCTCTGGAAGGTCGCCGCGATCTTGACGCCCGACTCGCCGCGGATGAACTTGGAGCCCTTGGAGCCGTCCTCGTCGTTGGCGCGCGCGACGTACTTGTTCTGCTTCTTGTCCCAGCGCATGCCGCGCGTCTTGGTCGGCTCGCCGAAGCCCTTGGCCGTCTCGTCGTTGGTCAGGTCCATCGTCGCGTCGCGCGCCGCCTCCACGAAGCTCGACGTCTGCGCGCCCGTCGTGACACCGTAGCCGCGCTCCTCGGCGGCGTTGATCGTGCGCGGCGTGTACGACATGTAGACGTCCGAGTCGCGCCAGGAGTCGGGCTGCTTATTCTTCTTCTTCTTGCCTTTGCCCTCGTCCGCGTTGGAGATTGTGACCTCGAGGCCGTCGTTGTCGTCTGAGTCGTCAGAGTTGTAGGCCTCCATGGCCTCGGTGTAGTCTGCTTCCTCGCCTGAGTTGTCGTCTTCCTCCTGGTTGTCGTCGCCGAAGTCGCCCATTTCCGCGTCCGAATCTTTGTCCTCCTTCTTGTTGCCACGGTGCGGGGTGATACGTTTGCGCAGCTGCTTCATGACCTCCACTGCCTCGCTGTTTGAGCCCTTTCCTCCGCGTCCAATCTCGAAAATGGTCTCGGCTGGTCTGAAGCCACTGATCTTGGCCATCATGTCATTGCGAGCCTGTTGGGCGTTGTTGGCGGCGGCGCCGAATAGGGGATGCAGCTGGTTCCAGCCCTTGGAGCCCACAATCTCGCGAGCACGCTTTGCGCTCTCATAGGAAGCCGAGTGTCGAGTCTTGAGGTAGAGCTTCTCGGCCTTGACAGAGACACTGCGGAGAGCTTCAATGTCGGCTTCCTCCTTCAAGATCTTGTTCATCCACTCCATGTTCATCTCAATTCTGTCACGTGAAAGTCCACCGACAACGACGTCTTCGGCGAAGGATGGCTTCTCGCTTTCGTGGCCTATGACAAGCTTGCGACCGAGGAAGAGCTGCAGATCCAATAGGTAGGGAGTGTCGAGTTCGCGCACAATACTATAGGCCCAACCTCTTTGACCGGCACGGGCCGTACGACCGACACGGTGAACGAAGACCTTGGGCTGAGGTGGGAAGTCGTAGTTGATGACATTTGCCAAGACAGGGATATCGATACCTCTGGCAGCGACATCAGTGACTACCAGGATATTTGCGCGACCCTGACGGAAGTTTTCGGTGTTGATCCTACGCGCCTCTTGATCTAAAGAACCATAGACGTATGAGACCGCAAAGCCGGCCTTGATGAGCATTTGCGCCAGATATTCGACGTGGTGCTTAGTGGCAGCGAAGATAATGGTAGAGTGCTCCGTTGGTTTTCCTCTTCCATCACCCTCGCCGCGCTTCCGCTTCTTCGATGGCGCGATATCTAAGGGAACTCCATCGGGTGTGCCCATCGGCATCTTGATGATGTCGTGCAAGATGTGCAACAACGCCGCCTCCTTCTCGGCACCCTTGACGGAGAAGAATGCGCTCTCGAGATCGGGGGAAACCTTCGTTTCGGCGTCTAGTCTTACTAGACTCGGGTCCTGCAGACCGGCTCTGGCAAACTCCACCAAAGAAGCTGGCAGCGTGGCAGAGAACAGCAGACTTTGTCTCGACGGCGGGAGGGCGTGAAGAATCTCGGTGAGCTGGGCAGCGAAACCCATTTCGAACAGACGATCAGCCTCGTCAAACACCACGTACTTGATCGAAGACAAGTCCAGACCCATCTCGACCTTCAAATGCAGGAAACGACCCGGGGTCGCAATGACGATATCCGGGTTCGAGGACATGAAGCCGAACTGCTCCTCCATGCTGTCACCACCAACGAGCAGCACACACTTCAGATCCGTTCCCTTGCTGAACTCCTTGACAACCTTCAACGTCTGCAGCGCCAATTCACGGGACGGCGACAGAATCAGCGCGCGGGTGCCGATCTTTGCGCTGTGGGCGCGCAGGCGCTCGATCATGGGGATGACGAAGGCAGCCGTCTTTCCGGAACCCGTTCGCGCCATACCGACAACATCTTTGCGGTCGAGGATGATGGGGATCGTCTTTCGCTGAATCGGGGTGGGGACAGAGAAACCCTTCTTCGTGATCGCGCGAAGGAGGTTTGCGTTGAGGCCTTGTGAACTAGTTAGCTTGGCCGGAGATGCTGGTTTCATGCAATGCCTGACGTACCCATGGCTTGGAAACCACCGCCCTTCTTTACAGACTTTCCCTTCAGGTTGGAACTCTTGCGGAACGAAGCTGCCTGCTGCAGCGCAATGAAGGCGGCGTCACCATCCTCCTCGCCCTCTTCCTCGCCCCCTCCGTTCAGGATCCCGTCGAAGTCGAAGCCCGCATCCTGTCCGCCTTCGCTTCCGCTGTCGTCGGCATTGGTGTTAAAGAGGGCGTCTGCGATGTCGACTTCGCCGTCGGACGGGGTCGGTGATACTGCGCGACGGGGCATCTTGACCGGTATGCGACGAGCTGGTTTTCGTTGAAAGATTCTCGTCGACAACTGGGCCCTTGTCCTGTCGTGTTGGAAAGAAACGCCGGTTTGGAGGCGCCTCCAAAAAAGTCCCAAGAGCTGGCGGGCGAGACCCATCGAAAAATTTCTTATCACCATCCAGTGTCTTATCTTAGCGTTCGTGGGGCGCCAAATCGACAGGGATGCGTAGTGGGCCCGGGCGTGTGTGGCTGCTGCGCACGCGGGCAGCCTCGTGCCCTTCGAACCTCCCTCAACCTCTGCCGGTCTCTCACCTACACGAACCGCCGCAGCTTTCCAGGTTCATCGCAAGACTTACGTATTGAAAGGTTTGATCGCCAGCTCTTCGCATCTACACCATGGCCAGCGAAGACGTCAAAGAGGAGAAGGATGCCCTCGACGCGCTCGAGTTAGAGGCGAAGGAGTTCGACAAGGTATGTCAACCCGCAAACGGAACCCATCCCCCTTGATACCTCGGCGCATAGCTAACTAACCACTCTTCCAGGATGCCGAAATCGACAGAATCCTCAAGGCCTTCAGGTTAGACGCCTACGCCGTCCTCGACCTGCAGCCCGGCGTGCCCGAGTCCGACATCAAGATCTGCTACCGCAAAAAGTCGCTCCTCATCCATCCGGACAAGACCAAGAACCCGCTGGCGCCCGACGCCTTCGACCGGCTGAAGAAGGCGCAGACGGAGCTGATGGACGAGAAGCACCGCGAGCGCCTCGACGAGGCCATCGCGGACGCGCGCATGCTGCTCATCCGCGAGAACAAGTGGACCGTCGACAGCCCCGAGCTCAAGACGGACGAGTTCGCCAAGAAGTGGCGCGACAAGACGCGCGAGGTGCTCATCGACAACGAGCACCGCCGGCGGCGGCAGGTGAAGGCGCAGATGCAGGAGGAGGGCCGCGAGCAGAAGAAGCAGGACGAGGAGACGGAGCAGCGCAAGCGCAAGAGGCAGCACGAGCAGGACTGGGAGGCCACGCGGGACCAGCGCATCGACAGCTGGCGGAGCTTTCAGAAGGGCAAGTCCGGGGACGGGAAGAAGAAGAAGAAGATGAAGCCCATTGGTTGATTGTGGAAGTCTGGTTGGGCATTTCGTTTCTGTTTTTCTCCGCCGCCTAAAATGGGCAGGCTGCTGGGAGGTGTTTATGGGGGTTTGGAGGGATAATTCCATTATAACTACACAGGTCTCGGCTTACGGATACACGATCACACACAAGCATGGCACGGTTTACATCAAGAGAGCCAGTGAGTTTATGATTGACCATCGCGGTTATGTCCCTAACTATGTCAGAAGTGCAATGCCCATGTTCCCCAAAAACTTTTCATTCGCTGTTTGCGAGGCGCATCTAGCCAGGTAAGCACACATCCTTTTTCTTCCTCATCACGTCGTGGTATGCTCGCATTATGATCCTAAAAAAACATGAACTTTTGATGCACTTCGCCTCTATGCCACCCCTGTACCATCACTGGTCGGTCCAATTCAAGGCTGGTGCTTCTTCTTGTACGAGAGGAAACGCGCGAGGTTCAGAA